CTTCTCCCGCGAACCCCTCCCCAAGGCACACAGGCACCAGGACGCTAGTAAACCCGGAGGGTGCTAGCTGCTGAGAGGGACAACAGTCATGGCAGTCCCACCAGCAACAAAGGAGCAGCCAAGTGCCAGGGACGGTGCTAAGCACCTCACATGGGCCCACCCGTGTAACCCCCAAAACCACCCATCAGTGATGGTCTTTGTCACGGGGGAGGAATCAGCTCACTCGGAGTCACTGCTTATGACACACGTCCAGGTATCAACCTCCGAACGCTCTGCACCATTAGACTGGCCCTTCTTAGGTGCCGAGTGCACTCCACTGCCCCTTGGCCATCTGCCTCCTCCTGGAAGCCTTCCCTGACTTTCGAGGCTGGAGCACCTGCTCCTGTTTTGCATACACACAGGAAGTCTGCTCTCTGCAACCCCGGATCCCCCAAACCTATATGCTCTCCAAGCATCCCCCGCAGCCCCTGTAGGCAGCATGCCGTAGCTGCTCAGGAAATCCCACGGACCTAACAAAAAGACAGAAGCTCCCCAGGGCTGCGGGCAACGAGCACAAGAGACACCTGATCCCAGGGACCCCACGGGGAAACTCCAAGGGAGAGCCCTTTGAACAGAGCTTGGAGAGACAAGGAGGGTTCAAACAGAGCCGGGCCGAGGGCAGCCAGCAGCCACACGGGCGTGCACAGTGGTTAGACGCCCCCCCAGAGTGTCCCCCAGGCGGTTTGGGGGTGCCACAGGAGGTGGACTGAACCCTCAGAGGAGGTTGGAGGAGGACCCTGAGTGTCGAAACTCTCCCCTCCTCCCCCAAACCCGAGGTCAGAGGTCAGAGACCTCAAGCCCACTTTTAGTTGAGTTGCACAGTGCTCTAAAGATATTTCCGAGGGGCCTCCCGGGTGGCTCAGTCGCTTGAGCGTCCGACTTCGGCTCAAGTCATGATCTCGCAGGTCGTGAGTTCAAGCCCCGCGTCGGGCTCTGTGCTGACAGCTCGGAGCTTGGAGCCTGCTTTGGATTCTGTGTCCCCCTCTCTCGCTGCCTCTCCCCCACTCACGCACACTTGCAGACACTCTCTCAAAATAAATAAACGTTCATTAAAAAATAATAATAATAAATCAGTTAAAATCTGCACTTTTGCCTTTTCTGAAAAAAAAAATTAAATGTGGCCACATTGGGGTCCCTCCCTGTCAGCCTGATCAGTCAGCTGCAGCCCCGGGCTGTCCCCCTGCCCACCCCCCTCAGGGTCTGGTTCCTCCAGTTCACCACAGTCCCCTGCATTTCCCAGCCTCACCCACAAGCACACCGTGGGGGACCTTCCTTCTTCTTGCATCATTTTGTAAACAGCATCCCCTGGCCAGCCTCACTGGGGGTCCCTGCCTGGCCCCGAAGACATTTAAATGAACCCAGTCACTAACTTCACCTTGGAGCTGGGGCAGGGGGGCGGGGGTCCACACTGGAACCCTAACTTGGATGGAATCTGAGGCTGCCTCCCAGACTCCGAGCTCCCCGACCCTGACGTGAGTTTGCCTTGCCACGGACAGACTTTAACTACCCCTCGGCCGGGTACATCAGCAGGGCCACCGTCCTCAAAGGACATTTTGCACGTCCACCCCTGGCCTCTTCTCCCTCCTCCAGCCCACCCCACTCCACCATCTGACTTCTCTCCCTCTCCCCTCCCAGACCCAGAGTATTTGGTTGGGTTGAAACTTGGCACCAGAGTCCTGAGCCTTAAGGCAAACATTTGTCCTAGAATTTGCTAGAAATCACTTGGCTTCTCTTAGCCGGGTAATGGCAAAACCAAACAGCCACCCCCTTCCCTGCACCTTGTCAGCACCTCCTCCCGCCTCCCCAGCCCCCATGCAGCTTGGCTAATTGGAGGCTCCCGGAATTTCCCTGGGAAAGACACAAGAGCCTCTCCTGACACACAGCCCCACAAAGTCCTGGAAAGCTCAGGAGTCGGTGAGTCACTGGCCAGGCCTGCGGACCACAAGGGGGCCCACCCATCAGTCACAGAGGTCGATGGGCCCCCACCACCTGCAGAGAGAGCTTCTTTGTGTTACCGGGGGCAGGGGGATCATTGGAAAGCTTTCCCTTAAAAAATTTTTAAAAATTAAAAGTTAAATAAAATAATTAATTTTAATTAGAAAGGGGGGCCCCTGGGTGGCTCAGTCGGTTAAGCATCCGACTTCAGCTCAGGTCACGATCTCACAGTTCATGAGTTCAAACCCCACGTCGGGCTCTCCACTATCAGCACAGAGCCGGCTTCGGATCCTCTGTCCCCCTGTCTCTCTCTCTCTGCCCCTCCCCCCACTCTCTCTCTCCTCTCTCTCAAAAATAAATAAACATTAAAAATTTTTAAGAAAGCTTTCCCATGACCAGTGTGCATTGGCCGAGCTCAGTTCTCGCGGACCCTGGCCGGCGCCTGAGAAGCTGATGGAGGACAGAGGCTACCCACTCCTTCACCAGCCAGTTCATTCATGCATCCACTCCCTACTTCTTCATTTACTGCTGCTTAAATTATTCCCTTCCTTTTCCCCTTCACTCGGTCATTCCCTCAGACTTGTACTAGTTTATAAATAGATGCAGATACAGGCGTCGATATAAATATCAATGCAGAGCCCTTGTCTACTTGCTCATTAATTCACCCGCCATCCACACATCCGCTCGTCTGTTTCCATTCTTCCATCCAATCGTCTGTCCACTTGTTTATGCGTTGACTCATGGTGTGAGTGCAGCCACAGATACGTCCATCCGTCCACTCATCCATTGATGGCTCCATCCACTCGATCACTGCATTCATTCATTAACTCACACACGGGAGGGAAAGGGGGGCTCGCAGCACAATAGGAGAAAGAGCGGTGAGGTCGAGGTGTGCAGGGGCAACAGGAGAGCTCCCCCCGAAGGGCAGAGCCTCCGGGGTGTGGGGGACTTACTGGGGCAGAGGTGGGATGAGGGGAAACCGTCACTCAGGGTGGTGAGTGGGCACCTGAGTCGGGCAGAGGGAGTCCCCACCCCAGCTGGCAGCTGCCCAATCAGCAACGACAAAGGCAGGAGGCTGGGTGGCGTGGCTAAGGTCACGAAGTCTGGAGCCCCGAGATCCCAGACTCACTTCTGGAACTACCTCTGAGGTGCTGTGGGGCCTTGGGTCACCTACCTAACCTGGGTGAGCCTCCCAAAAAGGCAGGCTCATGACCCTCATACAGTTCTTTTGAGGACTTCATGGCGTAAACAAAGGATGCCCCACAGACACGGGTGTGCTTGGCCCTTGTCCGTGCGCCGGTCGGCCCTCCACCGGAACAGAAGTCCTCTGGAGGTCCAGAATCCACAACTGGCCGGGCCTGGTTCCCTGCTGTCCACCCAGAGCCTAGGTAGGGCTGGGACATGCAGGATGCTCAATAAATATTTGTTGAATGAACGAACGAGCTAGGAAGGGATCTTAAAAATGATCAAGTCCGGGCATTTTCAAACTTAGCTACTTTTGAGGACCACCAGGCCCACCAGACAAGGTTCAGAGGCACATCCCGCTTGACCCAAGCACCTCACCTCTATTTTTACCTGTTTCCATATGGGGCTTTTCTTGCAAAATTTAATTTGGAAATTTAATTCCCCCCCCTCTCTCTCTAAAAAAAGTTGAAAACCGATGGTCTAATCGTCTTCTTTTAAAAATAGAAATCAAAATCCAGAGAGAGGAAGCGAGGGCCCACAGTCACCCACCGACTTGTGGTGGGGCCCGAAGGAGACCCCAGGCTTGCAGACCCCCCCCCCCCCGCCCCGTCCAAGGAGCCTGCCCTCCATCGCAACGCCCACCTTGCCCCTGGCTTTCCCTCCAGGCTTCAGGGGCCACCTGCCCTCCGTCCCCACCTCTGCACAGGACCCTTGTGGTTCCAGACAGAAGTGGAAATCAGGGTGGAAAAGGACATAACCGGGCCGCGTGGAGGAGGGAGGGGAGGGCTCGCCAGGTACGCAGCGTCTCCTCAGGTGGAGGACTTAGCTGGAGACTCCACGGGAGAGCAGCTAACTCCATATGGCCGGGGTGCTGGGTTTTGAAACCCTATACATTTTTTTAAATCTATAATTATGTGGCACACACCTAATTAAAATGGACTATAATTGTTGAAATATTTTATTGAAGTCATTTTTTTTTTCCAAACGACAGGTTTAACAGATGATAAAACTTGTCTTGTGGTTAACTCGAGCTGCCAAGATCCCCGGGCAGAGAACAGGGGTGCGGCTGTCCAACGGCGGACAGTCAACCCCATATGAATGCCAGCATTCTTTGCTAAGCGCTCCTTCTGAAGGCTTCTCTCGGGCCCCATGCCAAGCGCTCGGGACGGAGACAAATAGCCTGGGTGGGTGTTTTGTGCACAAAGATGACTGAGGTTTGCTTTAGCTCCATGGAGAAATCCTTTGAAATTGTGCTCCCGGGGAGTGAGCGCAGCTAAGATCAGAGGGAACTGTTTATTCAAAAGCACGAGGAGGGGAGTGTGATCTTTACCCCCCTACCCCAGCCAGCAGCACTCTCCTCTAAAAATCCCAGTGACCAATGGGTAACGGGCCCTCGGCTCGAGGGCCATGCTGCCTCACTTTTCATCAGGGGAGGGACGGATGCTTCTCAAATAATGCCTCCGACAGCAGCTGCAATTATAGACTGTCTCCCAAGTGCTCCGTGTTTTATATGCTTTGTTTCTAAATATTTACCGCCCACTTTATAGATGAGGAAACTGAGTCGTAGATTAACTGAATGGTTTCAGGGCTCACGGCGCAGAAGCGTGGCCCGGGTCCTAACCCCAGCGCTGTCTAACCTGGAAGCCAGTGTTTCTCCACTACTGTGTGCTGACTCAGACCCTGACTCAGAACAGCATCTTCATTATTAAAAAGAAAACTGAATCAGCCTGAAGGAGGGAAGGGCAAGAAAACACACTCCAGGATCCGGGGGCTCCTTTTCCCCGGGTGTTCACTCTGTCTACGGGCAGGGGGGCGGGCGGGCTGGAAGAGGATGGGCCCCCCACACATCCATGAGCCCAGAACAAGGGCCGGGCTGGGGACCACGGGACCACGAACGGGTCCTGTGGCCCAGGTCTGATGCTGATCAGAGAGTGAGCAGGAGAAAGCAGGGCCCGCTTTAGGAGCCACACGCTGTTCTCGAGATTGACAATCTGCTCCAACCTGCGTTACTGTCCCAACCCAGCGGCGAGGTGGCTGCTGTCACCCCCAGGTTACAGATGGCAAGTGAGTCAACAGGTGAGGGCGACCTGATGGGGACACCGCTAAAACAAAGCTCCAAAATCACCGGGGGGTGGGGGGGGAGCATTTTCATGGAGTTTCTCCCGTTTTTGTGGCTATTTTTTCTTTAAAAAAAAAAAAAGCGCATTCCTTCTTACTCCTCTTACTAGCTTTGTACTGTGTTTTTGTCTGCTTTCCCTTGACTTCCTTATTCATATTCACGCAACTCATTTTTATTGACCACCTATAATGTCTGAGACCCCGTGTGAGGTGTGGGACTTTCCGCTCACGAAGGCCGGCGGAGGCGGGGGCGGGTGGGGGGGGGCAGGCTGTGGGCTTCCAGAATGTCTCCGTGTTCCCTGAGAGAAACCCCAACTCCCGACTCGGGGCTGCGTGTAGATGCAGGGAACAGCGTCAGGTGGGGGCCTGGCTCAGCGCCTGCGAGCCCTCCCCTCCCAGCCAACCCCCCCAACCGCTGTGGGGGAGGACAGGGCCCTGAGAGCAGGACTCACTCTGACAGCTGTCGAGGAAGGGGGGTTGTTTGTACAAAGCAGACTGACTGTGTCTAAATCCCTCCCTGGGGCACTGGTTCCAAATGAAAATGTGGCAGGTTTGATCCCTGCCACCCCGCCCCGCAGGACTTTCCCTCCACCCACCCCCACCCCGTCCTACCCGTCCTGCCCGGTGTTACCACCATGATGAACACTTCCAACTGCTCCTAACCCCCTGGTTACCCAACTGTCCCTCCCCCTCCTCCTTCACTGCCGCCCCACCTGTTGGATCTGTCCATTTCCATTTGGCACAGGGACGAGTGGGCGGTGCCCTGCCCTCCAGCCCTCAACCCCGGGAGAGCGGCAAGGGGACAATTACTTCCCAGAATTCATTAATCAACCGAGCGCCCAGGCCAGTTGTCTGGTATCATTGCCTCATCAGCCCTGAGAGATAGATGTCTCAGGACGCCCATTGATGAAGAAACTGTAGGTCATGGAGGTCACTGCTCAAGGTGACAAGTGGCCCAGCTAGGGGTGGGGTGGAATTCACACTTGGAGCCGCTTGTCCTATTTACAGTAAGAACGGCTGCCCTTTGGAATGTGCTTCCTGGCCTCTGGACACTCTGCGTGCAGGAGCATCGCACCCAGAGGACCCACAAGGTCTCAGGCACCATCGCCCCACCGTCTGCACTGGGGCGGCGACGCCGGGAGGTGGGACCACTGTGGCCTGAGAGCCCGGCGGGCACTCAGCTGTGAGGTGGGACGGGACGGCTTTGTATCCCTCTCTCTGCCCCCACTTCGAAGACCCAGGTAAGGAGGAACGGCCAGTGACCTGGCAGCGGGGGCCCTCAGCCTGGCGCTGTGGACGTTTGGGAGCCGGATAGCACATCGTCAGGAGCCGCCGCCCTGCACCCTGCAGCCCAGCAACACCCCAGCCGCCCCCACCACCACCTCCTGACCGAAAAGTAGCGACAACCAAAAATGTCGCTGGACATTGCCAACTGGTTCCCATGGAGAGGACGCAAAATCACTGCCCACCCCCTCCTTGGAAAGCACTGCCTTACAGTTTTCTGTTTCCCTTAAAGAAAAGCCATGCCATTTCCCCCAAGGGCATTTAGAAATCTGGGGTAGATAGTGCCCAAAAAGTAAGTTAGTAGCACAGAACATGGCCCAACAAACGCTAGCCAAATGTGGCGGTATTATGATGATGATAACGATGATGATGATTCTGTGACTTGTAGGTGAGAGCTCCATCACCAGCTACTGGTGGGTAACGGGACCTCGCAACCCGAGTCCTGTGGCTGCCGCACTGGACACACTGAACAAGTCTGTTTGTCTGTGTTCCCATCTCTAGAATGGGAAGCCCAAAGGATGTGACCCTCAAGGACCGTTTTAAATCTCGCATTTCCAGATTTCCCAGGTTCTGCCATTTTGGAACCAGTGTTTCACACAGCAGCAAAGTACAAGGGCCCTGGGATCTGTCCACCTGGGCTCAGATCATGGCCCGAGCACTCCCCACCTAGGCAGCCTCCAACAGGCCACTCAATCTCTCCATGTGTCTTTCTCTTCATCTGTGGAACTCAGAGATAGTCTCTGCCCCCATATGTTTGTCACAAACATCAACGGAGGGGTGATACATACACTTGAACAGTGCCTGGCCCTAATAATAGCCCCCTAAGAATTAGTTATTACCATCAGAAACACGCTGGCAGTATTTAAAACACATGACCCACAGTCCTGATCACAGATCTTCCAAAGTGAAACTATGCATGCATATTTTTTTAAGCCTTTCCCAAATGATTCTGAAGTAGTCGGTCATTGGTCTAGAATCTAAGAACCAGTGAAAACTGTATGAAGTTCTCTGATGTTAGGAATGTTTCATTAATGTTTCGAGCATCCATGTGGCGGGGGGCCCGGAGGGGTACAAAGGTAAGAAATGTCCTCTGTCCGCAGGGAGCCACCACCTCATCATGCAAGGTCAACTCATAAGCCAAATGCATAGCCCAAGTAGGCTTCTGTGGCCACGGCCACCAAGAAGTTTGGCATATGTGCTCAGACATGGTAAAGGAGAGAGTGTGACCTACAGGACTGACAGTTTGGGTTATGCTGGTTGTTGACTGCACTAAAGTGTCCAGGAGAAGTGACTTTATCTCATTCAACAAAAGCCACATGGGACCAGTAGAAGGCCTGCAGGTCACTGTTTAGAAGCTCAGAGTATCCATCAGCACCAGTTTACCTGCCCCCTTCTCTGGAGGACGTTTCCCAAGGCCCTACAAAAGGAATAGTCCACTGTGCCACGTTCTAGTAGAGTTTTCCCTTTCCCACATTCAAATTGCATTTGAGTTTGGGTCAATGCCTCCCCAAGAGATTATGAGCCCTTTGAGGGAAGGTACTGGATCTTTTTAATTTAATTTAACTTAATTTAATTTAATTTAATTTTGTTTTTGTTTTTATTTATTTATTGGTTGGCTGGTTGGCTGGTTGGTTGTTTGGTTGGTATTTCCAACACTGAACATACAACCTGATACAGAGTAGGTGCTGAACAGATGCTAGTTGAATGAGTGAATGAAGGGATGGATCAATGGATGGAAGGATGGATGGATGGATGGATGGATGGGTGGATGGACAGATGGATGGATGGATGGATGGATGGATGGATGGTTGGATGGATGGATAATTTGATAAATAAACACATGAATTCCAACTAATTTACAGGGTCTAGGTGAGCACTGTGAGAAGGAACTACAATGCCAATCAAGAGACCTGGGTGCAAGCTGAAGTGACTTCTTGGAAGAGGAGGAAATGTGCCTTGAAGGGTAGACTTGGCTTTGGTGGGCACGGACACAGCGGAGAGGGAGTGAAGGGAACATTTTTCAGCAATCTCATGCACAGAAAGTGAGATCAAAGAACTAGAAGGTGTAGGGAGTTGTTAATTAAGGGTTCAAGAAAAACATAGTTTGACAGTCGCCATGGAAACATGATCTTCATTTGCTATCAGTCACAAAGTCAACATTTTCATAAAATCAACATAATAGTAAGAAGACACACGTTACAGCATCTGGGGGAAAGTCAGTCCTTTGCACTCTGGATTTGGTTATCTCATCCACAGTTTCCTATGAGCATTGAGCAAATGGAGGGCCACGTGTGCAAGAGACAGAGGAGCCCTGGGTGCCAGGGGTGGCCCTGAACTCACTGTTTTGCAGGTGCGTTACGCTAGTGATGCTCCCTCCCGACCTGACAGACCTGGACTCTGACTCATCTTGCTGCCTGACACTAGATAAGTTGGATTCACCTCTGGGCCTCAGTTTCTTCACGCATATAATGGGAATACAAATCCCTATTCCTCGGGACTCATGGCCCATTGAATCAAACGTAATACAACCATTGACTTTGAAGGCCATTAATCCATTTTGGGTCTCTTTCCCCAGAACGTTCCATTAATGTCCACTCGACTGAGTTCAGAAATCCATCTCCAAAAGTCAGAGGTAACCATGTGTATTAAAACTGCTGGAATTTCCTGTGAACCATTTGTCCCACCCATCCAGGGAACCTGCCTTTGGATTTATCCAAAAGGCAAAATGTGTGCCCAACGATTTCCACCGCAGTGCTGCTCTAACAGTGAAATGCAAATTATGTTGGCGATAGTGAGGTACGTAAGAGAAACACCCATGATATCGAATACTCTGCAGAATGCAAAAGTATGAGGATAAAGCAAAGGCTTTTTAATAACACAGGAAGGTGTGATGTAGATGTCACTAGGAAGCTTCAAACAAAATCCATAATCAATTTCATCTTTGGGTTATTTTCCTTACTATGCAGATTTTTCTTTTGTTTTCTGTAGATGGCATCAAAGTGGAATGCTGGGACTACTTCCTCCTTCAACCCCAGAGCAGACCCAGCTCCCAAGTACCCTGTGATCACAGCTGTGAAGAGCATGCTCTTGGCAGGACGCCACAAGGATGACAAGTGTCGTCCTTGACTTTGTCACACTGACGTGTTGTAACGCCCAGGGACAGTTCAAGGCACTGGGCACCGTGAGCAGCACGTCCACACCCAGCCTCGTGCTAGGTGCTGTGGGGAAGTGGGGACAACAGGTGCACGCTGGCCACAAGCGACTCCCACTGCAGTCAGAAGAAGGAGTGATCTGTAGATGCCATCAGCTCTCAGGCAGACCCTCTCTGTGCCCTGCCTCTACCTTGCCTGAGCTTAAGTCTCATCTCTGATGCTTGGATGCGGATCCTTGGATGCGGCAGCCAGGCCAGCTGGCACGACCAGCTGTGTGAGCCCAGGCAAGCGACGTGACCTCTCTGTACTTCAGTTTCCTCGTCTGGAAAAGGTGTACGGTGGGATTCCTTGGTGTATAAAGCTCTTAGAGCACAACCCTTGGCAAATGCTATGTGAGGGCATTTTTTTTTAAGTTTATTTATTTTGAGAGACAGAGACAGTGTGATCAAGGGAAAGGCAGAGAAAGAGGGAGAATCTTAAGCAGGTTCCATGTTGTCAGCACAGAGCCCATGTGGGGCTCGAACTCACGAGACCATGAGATCATGACCTGAGCCAAAATCAAGAGTCAGACACTCAGCTGACCGAGCCACCCAGGCGCCCCAGTGAGAACTTTCTATTCATATAGGTTCAGAGGCAGCTGAAGTAAGATTGTCTGACTTCAAATCACACAATCCTACCACTCGACCCCACTGCCAGATGTCCACAAATAACTGTGAACCAAGTCCCTCAGAAGGACTGGAAGAGAGAGTCCAATAGGATACTACAATGCCCGCCCCCTGGGGGCGGGGACAACAGGAGTGCTGGAATCTAACAACTTTGGGTTCCACCTCTGCCTCTGTCACTCGTGCTGGTCTAACCCTCCTGCCACATCCCTCTACACCTCAGCCTCTGTGTCCAGAAGCTGGGGCTAGCTTCCACCCGCTCATGGGGAAGTCTCCGTCAGCAATAAGTATGCATCAGACAAAGCCCAAAAATTGTGTTGTTAACCCCACACCAAGAGGCCACAGTTGTCGTGGGGACGATCCCGTGAGAGTATGTGGCACGTGCCCACATTAGGCATCGCCCAGCAGGTGAAGCTGACTCTCTCAGCTGTGAAACACTCAAAAGAGGAAAGAGCCAAAAACAGTTCCCTGGAGAAGCAGGGGTTCTAGACGGCATTGAAAGAAAACAGGACTTTGGGCCACCAGAGATGAGGGGCTGGGTCCTTCTGATCAGAGGGGCGGCTTGGGCGATGACCATCTCCACAGAGGATCTTCAAATGGTCGTATTACAGAGTACCCTGCACATGTCTGGGCTAGAGCAGGTGGTGGGAGAAAAGAGGGAGGGAGGGAAGGAGGAGGGAGTATGGGAAGTGTTTGCGTCCAGCCCTTTTCCCAAAGCCCCATCTGTGGCCAGCGCTATGCTGACGCGGCTCCCCCGCTGCCTGACCCCACACAGAAGGTCCCTTGTTCCCCAGCCTGCTCTGCGTGATCTCTGGGGAACATGATTACAAACCTCGACACTCCCATTTCACCCTTTCAAAGGGCACTGTTCCCACTCAGACGTCTGCTTCCCTCCCCTCTGGGACATAATGCACCCCGCTTGCCATGGGGAGATTTAGTGTCCCCCACCCCCCCCCCCACCACCACCACCACCCTGGAAGGAAAAATGTAGCTTGAGATTTTAATTCCTATTCATGTCATTCTACAATAGCTTCATTCATTCCTACTGGCTCTATGATTTTTTGCTTTTTAATTTATGGAGTACATTCGTAATGTATGAATTAGGGAAAGGAAGTGTTCTTAGAAAGGTCCCGGGGAGTGAGCTGCTTCATGTCTGAGGACTGAAATGCAAGTGTCAAGGAAAGAAGAGTGATGTGGGGGGCAAAGAGAGCTGTGTTCTGGCCCAAACTGGCCCCCAAAGTGCTGTGTGACGTTGGGCAAAGCACTTAACCTCTCTGGGCTATTATTACACGACTCTGTCTCAAGAGTGGCTTCCCACTCTCACTAAACGGTGTCTTCGTCAACCGTCACGGCAGCCCTGTGGGTTAGGCAGTCGTTGTCATAGTCGATACGGAGAAGCACCCTTTATGGGAACTGACCCCAGACCCTATCCCCCTCCTAGGCTCCTGCTGGGAAGAGAGCAAGGCTGAGCACCCCCACCCCACCCCCACTGCATTGTCCAGCTTCAGCTGCCAGGGCCCCTCATGGGCAGAAGCATAAGTGAAGAAATCCAGTAAGCCTGGGGAGGCCAGCGTTTCGGCCTCATAAAGCCCTTTTCCTAAACAGCTGGCCACAGCTGTCCAGAGCTAAGTCTTACAGTAAATTGGCCCACAGCCCTGAAAACTGAGGGGCTGGGGCATGGGGACCCGGGTGGGGAGAGGGAACAAAGGCCTTCCTCGGAGAATGGAAAGAGGCGGCCAATCCTGCTGCCCACCGGCTCTGAGGCCTTTCCTCTCAAGCCTCAGTTTCCCCAACTGTAAAGCACCGAGAGCCCTTCCCCCGCCATTGCACAGTGACGGTAAGGATGAGACTGTGGACGTCAGACGCCCAGGTCTAGGCCTGGCCAGGGCCGCATTCTCAGTGGGCTCCCCTCCAACGTCCAGCCCAGGCTGCCCTCCCCCGCTCCCACTGCTGTAAAACTCATCCCCGCCCTCCCCAGCCAGACACCCAGGGACATGCGCACCTGTCTCCCCTGTTTCTGTCCACACGGCCGCTCTGTGGAGGGCCACCGAGAGGGCCCTTCAGAAAGGTGAGTGAGTGCTTTTCCCAATTTGCAGCCTGTTGTTTGAGTCTGGCGTCTCACCTAAACTCCCCCCCACAAGTCACAGCACAGGAGCAAGAGCTGGGTGGCTGGTCTAAATGTTCGCAAGGGCCAAGTATCGGGGTGCAGAAGGAACAGGCTTAGTCCTTCCTGACGATGGTAGAAAACCATCCGTTTGTGCTGACCCGAGTTCCTCTGATTTAAACGGGCACCTTTGGGGAAGTCGCTAGTCTAATCAGGGTTTTCCCGGTTCCTTTTCTCCAGAAAAGGTTCTGACATCAGGGGAGCCCAGTCCCCGCATCAACCGTCCTCGGTGGCCATCAGCCTTGGCCAGCTTCTGCCGTTCTCATAGCCTGTTTCTGAGGTCCGTGGCTGCCTCGCTCTCTTGTTCTCTTTCACAAGGTCCTCCTGGCCTGGGTCTGGGCTCTCTGGGTCCTGCAGCCCTCCATCGGCAGCTGCCCACACCTCGGGGGGCTTGGGTTCCCACCCAAAGCTTCCCAGACAGGTGCCAAGCAGGGGTGCACAAGACCGAGGCCGAGAGATCCCTCGAGAAGCCACTCTGTGCTCTGCAGCCCCAGGGCTTCCTCCCGTGCCGGTCATGGGCACAGAAGCAAGGCACGGTTGTCTCGGCTGGCCCCTCACATTCATCTAGGGCTGTTCGCACACTCCCACCCACTGTCTACCTCTCCCCAAAGAGGCAGAGCATGCTGGGTGCTAAAAGTCAGGCCTTACGACACCACGGGAGAAGGAAGAAATGGCATCGACCACGGTGGCCCTGCCAAGGAGACATTCTCTTATAAAGGAGACATTCTCCGTCATCCAGAAGATGTAATGCCACCCTGAAAGGTAGAGCCATTCGTCCACACTCACGCAGTCAACAAATGTGACAACCAGGCATCTCCCCAAACTCTGTTACCTCCTGCCTATGTCATGGACCACTGCACATCCATCACGGTGTCCCCAACGCCCCACACCCCTTCCCTGCGCACTGGGGGGGGGGGGGTCCCCCTTCTGCACAGATGTGGGCACTCTGCATACCCCCTATTAGATCAGAGTTAGCAGAAAGTGACCCAAATGGAACGGCACACACCCCATGGGCAGAAAATGAGATGTAAAATCCTATCGGTCCCTCTGACAGTTAAAGTAAAATTTTATGTGAGCAATATACTCTCGCTCTGATTACCATGCAGTATAATTTTATTCTGGTTTTTCTGGGCCTGCTGAACCCCCTGCTCTTTTAAGTGTTCAAATGCTCTGCTTGCCAAGATAAATGATTATAATTGACAGGGCATTGTCAATCTATAGCGAAGCCGATTTCATTAAGCATGCCAAGGGCCAGCTCTGGGGGCAGGTAGCTGAGCGGAGAGGGGTTTTGATCTCACCCTCTCCCTGTAGTACAGTCCACACTGGTACCAAAGGCTGGAGGGCAAGAGAACAAAGGAAACGTTATGTCTCTGAATTCAAATCTTTCCCTTTGAAATGAGGCGTCCGGAATGGCCAATAAAACTGTGGAAATGGATTTCTGGCTGCATTTGATGTTAAGCCTTTAGTGTCAAGGGCTAGGTCTATCGGTTGCCTTTTCATTCCCCCCTTTCCATTCTCTTCTCCTTTGGCTCCTCTTGGATCCACCTCCCCGCCCCCCGTCTCTGGGCAGCCTTGTGGGGGCTTGGTCCTTTAATAAATAATGTCTTGCGTTGGTGGATGGGCCGTTAAGTCGCATTTCTGCTTTGACACGAGAGGAGCAAATTAAGTCTTAAAAGAATAGAAACTTGCTCTTGCGTCTGTAATAGGATTCGTCTCGTATAGATTGACGATGACCCAGACGTCTCCCGCCTCAGACTGAAATACTGGGTATCAAGGCATCTCGGGGTACAGAGTCGCCCTCCATTTCCACTGAGCCATCACATCCCACATCCCTGCCACCCCTTTCCACCTGGAGAAGAGGTTTGGAGAGAAAATCCCGGGTTCAGAGCCTCCTCCCTAATCATCTGTGACCGGATATCCGTGACCAGGGACGAGCTTTCATCTTGAGCAGTGAGTCTAGCCCTTGATAGGGAGAGAAGGACATAGCCCGTCGACGGTGACGTCCTTTCTGTCATCAGGCTGAGGGGCATGATGTGAAACAGAGCTCTGAGGATCCAGACCACAGTCCGTTTGGGGAACCCCAGTGGAACAGGTGGGTAGCCCCACCCAGCCTGGTTATATCCTTGAGCCGGATCAAATCATCGACCCCTTTTACGTAGTGGGTTGTGGCTTCTGATAAGAGAGAGGATCAGCGAGGAGAGCAGAATAGCAAATAGGATTTGAGATCCAAAAACCAGTCTCCAGTCCTGACGCTGCCCCGACAGGGTGATGTTGGGCTACTAAATTCACCCTGCGGCTCGGACGTCTGCCTGTAAAATAAGGGCAGTCATTCCTCCCCTGTCCTGAGTTCTAAACGGGACAACTCCAGCAGCATTGTTGAAACGCCAGACCATGGAGTTCAAATGAGAGCTCGCATCGTTGCAAGAATATCATATGCGTTAGAGTCAACCCATCTTCATAATAAGTTAACGGGGGAAGCATTGTTTCCTTCTATTCTTGGAGCAAGGAAACTGAGGCAGCTCCTCTTTGGCTTGTAGCAGCCATAGAGCCAGCCAATGGCAGAGC